CTCAGGAGGCACATGCTGATCCGCACCCTCTAGTACTTTAATCAAATCAGCAGCATATTTCCAATCCTGTTCAGAGAAGAAGGTATATGCGACTCCCGTTGCTCCAGCTCTCCCAGTTCTTCCGATTCGGTGAACATAATCCTCGATTCCAGTGGGAAAATCATAGTTGATCACCACTCTGGTAAGAATGAATCCAATAAATCAGAGTACTCAGTGCAAAAATCACAAGACAATTAGCATACAAAACCCTAAAACCAGTCACATCAGATCCATTTTCGATCAAATTAGTCCCAAGACTCTCGCTTTGGTACCATAGAGAAAAGAGCACAAAAGAGGGCCTACCTTATATCTTTGATGTCGAGCCCGCGGGCAGCAACATCTGTGGCAACTAGTATAGGAGACTTTCCGCTACGAAACTGGTTCAATACCCAATCACGCTCCCCCTGTGATTTGTCTCCATGAATTGCAGCAGCCCCGAAACCACGCCCAAGATTCCGTGCAAGCTGATCACACAACCTCTTAGTGGAACAAAAAATTATTACCTTAGAACCCCGTTCTTGGGACCTAAGGATCTGCTCCAACCGTCTCTGCTTTTCCATCTGTGGAACAACTTCAACATACTGTTCTCCGCCACCACCCAAAAAAACAGAGGATAGAAGAAAGAAAGGTCATCAACAATTTATCTAGAGGAACAGAGAATGGTTATAGGCTTATGGTACAAGATGCTCTGTAGAAAAAGAGAGCTATAATTAGATAACTACTAATGTTGAGGAACTTTGAACCAAGAACAATCAAATTAAATGCCATTAACGATGCATTCGAAATGTTTCCTAAAATAGCATTTTTATTCTTTAAAATGCGCTTACTCATCAGAAAGGATGTAGCATTCATCAAAATGGTGAAGAGAAATACGAAGACAAAGCAAGAGTTTCAAAATATCTCCACGGTGAAGGTTAGTTAGAGGCTGGAAAAAGTCTTCAGAGATTTCTTATGGAATGGTGGTGAGGCAGAGGGAAGTCAATTAACTAATTGGTCTTTAGTTACCGTTCCTTGCTCTTTAGGAGGATTGGGAATTGTTCGCTTTAGAAAGAATAATGATGCACTTCTTACTAAATGGCTTTGGAGAATTGGGATCAGATAGAAAGTTCGCAATTTGAATGCTCTACTTGTCCGTTAAAAAACTAGAAAAAGAAAGAAGTTAACGTTTCCACAGACTTCAGCTATTCAATCTTGTGTAACTCTAATGTTCAAAAGATTCATTTCCATTACGAAATACGAACAAAAAAGCAATCAAATTTTAAAAGCAAATTACTTTGTTGACCACATTATGACACCGACCATGTGGGCTAAAAAGGTATCATTTTAACAATTTGTGAGACTCATAATGCCAAATTGAAACGTAGACAGGGACTGGTAAGCATATAATTTGTTGAAATTACCTGTGTGATAGCCTTGTTAGCAGCAAGTTCATCAACGCTACCAATATTCACCTGGACAGAGTTGACGAGAAGATCATTCGCGATTTTTCTTACTTCCTTGGGCCAGGTTGCTGTATACATAAGAGTTTGTCTGCGTGGTGGTATTTCATTCACAATCTTCCGAATTTGAGGTTCAAATCCCATGTCAAGCATCCGATCAGCTTCATCAAGTACAAGAAGTGAAACTTGCCTAAAGTTGATCATCTTCATTTCTAGTATATCATTAAGCCGGCCAGGAGTTGCCACGACAATATCAGCACCACGATCTAATTCTTTCAGCTGAGGACCTTTTGGAGCTCCACCATACAAGCACTGAAACAATGAAGAACTTTAACTCGTGAAGTGGGAAAAAGAACAAACTAAATCATAAGAAAAGGAAGCATGAGTAGATGATTCAAGGATTCAAAAGAGGAAATATTTGAAACTCACCGTACAACAGACCCTGGAAGACCTCCCAAATTTAATTGCCTCATCTTGTATTTGAGTAGCAAGCTCCCTAGTAGGAGCCAAAACCAACACCGTTGGCCCATTCTGTGGATTATTTCGGCACTGCCTAAGAAGAATGAAGGCGGGAATCAAATAGCCCAAAGTTTTTCCAGACCCCGTTTTAGCTATTGCGACTATGTCCCTACCTTGCAGGGCAATGGGCCATGTTTGTGCTTGAATTGGCGTAGGAGATGAGAATCCAGCAGAATATATCTGCAGCATATAAATGGAAATATAGACTCAGCGCCAAGGTAAGTTTAAAACATGCCAAAGACATACATGCGTGAAATACATTATAAAAATACAGTGTTCTACAAGAGCAAATAGAAATAGCACAAGAAAACCCATAGATTAGTTGCTTACAGAAGCAACTCGAGGCAACAAAAGATGGCAATAAAGACATAATAAGCAGAGCCAATAAGCAAGACATCTCAGTCACATCAGGTGTGATCTGGTCAAATGGCCAACACTCTACTAAAAGATGCCCTAGAGAGGCTCCAACCATCCATTTTGCAGCCTCCAAAAATCAAGGGGTTGTTGCATGTGCAAGTGTAGCAATAGCAGTGCAGCGTACGACATATGCTCCTCCTCCGGAGCAGATATCGCACCTGCGACAAGTGAAAACTCATGAGTAAAAACTATATTAATAACAGAAGAAATGAGTAAGCTGGATCACTTTCTTTTTTCACGTTACCCAATTGAAAGAATTTTGACCAAACATAAAACTTGCCTCTCTCAGTAGCTCTGGAGGGAAGCCAGTAGCCTCAAATGTCATGAAAGGAGCTGGAACATTGTCACCCTACAAAGTTAATTGGACTAATCATTTACACCAAAAAAAAGAGTAGTTTCACTGCTATAGATTGAAGCAACAGCGCACATCTAATGAAACAAAGTCACAGTCGAGACTCCACGCAGTCACACAAAGTAAATTTCCAATCGTGTATGTATCAACCTTCATTGAACTATATCAGCTCGACAATTTAACACTGATTTTCCCACAGAACATTGACAGTATGATTGGTAATCAATTGTACGTTTACATCGCCCTATAGCATTCACCACAACACAATGAAAAAAGATAGGCGTGGTGAAATACAAACCGTAGCAGTTACTTCATGCTGTTGACGATAAACTTCAACAGGCGACATATTAGTAACATCTGATGCTACAACATGAGGAGGGCCTATCAGAGCATTATTTGGCAATGATGGACCACCAGATCCATGGCTATACATGCTATGTGAGTGCCCAGCCGCAAAATTTGTCCCACTAGGATGACCAGGTGCCACACTTGGAAATGGAACACCACCCATCCTTGTTTCCTGAAAGACAGGACAATTTGCACATGATGTATGAAAAAGTAGATCATAGATAACTGAAATACATGGAAAATTAGTACCGCATTACTCTTTTAACTTAAAAACTAAGTTTATGGTCGAGGAAAAGAGTAGATAACACATCACTTCCTATTGATTACTTTATTAATCCAATTCCACACATAACTTCCCTCATAAAACTTTACAGTACCTAACTACATATCTTCTATGTTAGACCCAAAGATATAATGTCTTCCCATAATATCAGTGCCCATTCAAATTCTTTTAACATGTACCAAATTTAAGATATGACAAAAATATAAAGTTTCCAGTCGTAGTAAAAATTCATCCCTCGTATTTGTATCTTACTTAAATAGTGTCCAAAAAAACTTGAACATGAAAAAATTCCAAAGGAACGTGATCTATATATATATAATAGAAAAAATAAAACCTGCTGGCTCCTTGCCATTGGTATGGCTGCAAGCCTTGGTTGATGTGGACCAGTGCCAGGCCCCTCATTCCTGCCAAAGTAAAATTCATTTCCAGCTCTGCCAGGCAAATTTTCAGCACCAGCTTGCTGCCCCTGCATCACAGCTGGGCCCATTTGATCTTGGAATCTAGAATGATGTTGGCGATGAGTCAATTCAGTACCTGCATGCTGCAACTGAACCACAGAATGCTGCTGTTGCAGGTTTCCTGGAGAGCCACCAAAATGTCGTGCTTGATCTGTAGCTAAACCAAACTGTTGCATTTGAGAAGAATTGGTTCCAGGATGAAGGTTATGAATAGATGAGGTACCACCACTTTGTTGAAACTGAGAAGAAGAAAATCCAACTTGGTTTCCGGACTGAAGGTTATCCTCCTCTCTGTTCAGAAAACCCGACTTCTGTTCGAGGTGATTAACAAATGGTTGACCTAAAGGGCTTTGTTTAACTTGCTGCTGTGAATTTTGCTGAACACTTGGATGTACGCTTTGCTGGTAACCCATATACTGAAGCTGCTGCTGACCATATTGCGGACCTTGAGGCTGGCCAACTAATGGGGTTTGATTTTGCATGTTCGGCTGTCCTAGATTCTGGATTGATGGCTGTGGTATTTGTTGTCCTGGATTCTGCAAGACTTGCTGGTTAGGAGGATGCTGAGCCATTTGTTGATTCTTATGGGCCATTTTCTGACTTTGTTGCATGACATGCTGCTGGCCAAGATGTTGTGATGACATTGCAAACATCCCTGGTTGCTGCATGACCTGATTCGGTTGCGCACTATGTTGACGCCCATCCGGTGCCATTTGCATACCAGGATGGTGATTAACATTTACGTGCCCTGTAACAGAACTGTGTTGCTGTGATATTAAATGTCCAGGTTGTTGAGAAAGCTGGCTGTTTGATTGGCCTTCTTGTTGAGGGACATGATGGTTTGGCTGCCCGTGAGGCGTTAATGTGCCATTTGTTGGCATGGAATGAGCCTCCGGAATTGAAGCAGGCTTGGAAGTAGAGGCACTAGGATGAGGACCGAGTGGCAGTGGTGGTGGCAAAGAGACTGGTTTCTCATACTGAGTGACGTTGGTTTCAGGGTTCCAGTAGTATAATAGTCCAGTGCTCCCATCAATCAACCCCTTCCAAGGCTTGGGAAGAGTAGGATCGTCGGGTGCATAACGAGGACCGAGGGAAGGGGGAGCAGACTCCCCAGTCTCCATGGCTTCAAAATGTATTTCAAATTGATCACTAACAAGTCAGTATTCCGAAAACATACCAAACGTCTTTCCTACCCACTGAAGTAAAAGCAATATATAGAGTTATAAAAGAACAAAATTTTAGAAGGAAACTAAATTTCAATCCCAAGGTTCTTCGGTCTGCCAAGATAATGAAACACTAGAATCCGTGATTCGCTAAATTTGTCTCCATGCTTCTGCGTTTCATTCAATCTTCAAATTTTTCCCAATAATCTTTACAGAAACAGAAGAATGGAAAAGGAAAGCATGTGCATTTAGGGTAAGTAAAAATCAAAACCAATAAACAAAATAATTGCAAACCAAATAGAAGAAATGCAACAAGGTAATGATTAAAAACAATATGATCAGAACAAGAAAAATATATACACATAAATATACCTCGATAAAGATCCGAACTTCGATTATTTTTCTCCTTCCCCGCCAAGACCTGACGAGAGAAGTAAAATTAATGGAGGGCGAAAGATTGGCGCTTTCAATCGCCCAGTCGCACGAACAGCAGAGGAAGAGAAGAGATTTGCAGAGATTTTGAGGCGCTAGGGCTAATGGAGGTGTTACCGAATGCAGTGTCAGTACAGCATTTTAGACGATGAGAGACCGATTGATAGAACTGGACGGCCAGGATCATTTGCAGGGAAATCTTTTTTTCTTTTTTTCTTTTAGTATTAGTACGAGTTGGGAAAATTTTTGTTTTTTCACGAGCGGGGATCAAACTCATAACCTACATTCAGTTTGGCGTGTAAGAAAAATTCTATAAGAAGATTTTCATACTAATTTCGTTAATTTTTTTTATCAAATAAACATTGCATTAAAAAAAAACATTATCAATATGGATTACATCAGAAAAGTTGTACACCACAAACAAAAGCCATAAAGGATAACAACTATCTCAAACGACATAAATTATCATTACGCTTGGCCAATAAAACAAATTGCTTGTTCAAAGAACTAGGAATATGAACAAATTTTGCCTACTAAACACTTTCTCCAAAGTCACAACATTTTTAATATCATTTAATGATTTCCAGAAAGATCCATCAATTAATTGAGGGATTTTATCAATTATGTCATCCTCGTTGCCTTATTCTCAACCATCATCGTGACAGGTAAAGAAAGATTAGGTAAATTTCTCAAATCATGCTGATCACGTATCTCAATACAATTAACACTGATAGCTTTCACATATTCCAAAAATGGTATTTGAGCCGATTGCTGTCGCACCTCCATCGTCGCACACCTTCTGCTCCATCATATTTGCCTCTGAATCATGGAAGTTCTCTAAATCAGAATGCAACAAAAATAAAGAGTCATTCCAAGAGATTGCAGGCGGGAGCCCTCTCAAATTGTGTGCCTGATAACTCTTCAAAACACTTCGGTGACGAAACCATGGACCATACATAACAATGTTGGCTTTGATTTTGTCAGCTGCAACAGCATTATCAGCATCTAACGGGGAGATCCCAACACCCAACCACCGCCAGCCATCATAAAAACTAGCGGGAAAGAAAGATCCTCTTCGAAAGTCGCTCTACAACAGTAAGAGAGGTCCTTATAATATATTGATCAATGCTACTTACTAATTGAAAAAAAAAAAACCACGAAAAATTTGTAACAAAGTAGGGAGGAACACCCTCTGAAAAAAGTCAGCCAGGACTGAGAAAAAACGCACACCCTTCGCGGAGAAGAGAATGAAGGGAGGGGAGTTGGCCACTAGCTACCTCGTCCCATTTTTTTAAAAGATTTATCTAATTCTCTCGATGTTATGTCATCTGTAAACTTTGCAATTAGATTATTTTGGAAATAAAATAAAGTGAAGATTTTAAAATGTAAAAGCACGTGTATCTTCAAAAAAAAAAAAAAATTAAAAGCACATGTATCATTTTCTTTCCATCTTAAATTAAGTTCTCTCCTCTATTCTTATTTATGCTAATAGACCCCATATTTTTATTTCAATATTTTCATTTGTAAATTTTTCTCCCTTCAACAAATTTAGCCCACCTTAAATAGAGTATTCAAAAACGATTTTATGTTTCGAAAATCTTTAAAATATGAATTACACCAAAAGGCGAAAACTTTTCAAAAATATTATTGGGTTCAATCCAAAATTCACTGCCTGTTCTTAAAAACGTTTGAATTACGTTTTTGTTGTTTTCAAATCTTTAGATAGTTATTATTATATTTTAATAATAGATGGGTTTATGGTTGCAATATTTGTCTTCTACTACTAAATATATTTCTGTAACTAGCTCGATGCCTTTGAAAATTTTCTTTAAATATGCTGAAGCATATATTTTATTTATTTAGATAAATATATTACAATTATAGGGTAAGTTTGAATTGAAAAAAAATTATGCATTGACCACTCATTCATATTTAAATTATAATACCTTTTTTATATATATAAATATATATATATATATATTTATTTATTTATTTATTTGTCTTAATCATATTATATATACAATCCATGACATACCTGAATTTATTTCATATAAATTAAATTATTTTTTTCTTTGTTTTATGTATCATGAACTTTAAGAATGTTGTATCATATTTGATATATTGTACCAATATTATGTAACAAGATTATATTGTGAACCCATGTAAAAGTTCTAGTGTACGATATTATCTTATGTACCCATTTTATTTTTATAAAAATAATATTATAAATTATAATATAAGTTGTATATTTATTTTAATTATTTAATTAAATAAATTTTATAAATCAACACATGCTAGTGTATTTAGTAATACAATTTTAAATTCAATCAAAACAATACATTACAAAACATTTCAAAACATTTTTAAATCTATATTCAATTTATGAATCCGCTACCAAATACATTCTTGAAAACGTGAATACATAGGATGTAACTCTTGTTTTTTTTTTCATATTCATGTTTTAAAATCACTGGTCAAACCTACCCTTATAGTTTTGTTAAATATCTAATTTTTAAGTTTTTTTTTATATATCTAATGATGCTTATAATTCCTTAATATATATAGATAACAAATAAAATGTAATTATAATATTTTAAATTGGACAAAACAATTATTTAATTATTTTAAAATAAAGTTACAAATATAAAGTACTATATACGAGTGGGTAACAAATAAAATCTAATTATAATATTGATTAAATAAGACAAAATAAGTTAACATTAAAATAACATATCAAAATACTTAAAAAGATATATCGTTAACCAAACTGTTTTCAATAATAATAATGTTTGGAAGAGACAATCAAGACCCATAGAAATTTTTTATCGTTACTACAACGATGACAATGTTGCTTTAAAAAAAACAAACAAAATATTACAATATCATATAACTTAAAATACCGCAGTGAGAATAGAATTATATGTGGGCACATCCTATTATTCTCAATGACCGGTGATTGAGCCTTACATTAAACCTTTGAATTTTACCTTTCTTTCTTAAATAAATAATCAACTTTCTACTCGTTTTGTTTATTATTATTTTGTTTTGTTTTTATTCATTGAAAATACAATTTATTTATATATATGAAAAATTGAAAACTATAATTATATATATATATATATATATATATATATTATTTATTATTATTATTTAATAAGAAAATAATTTTATTTTAAACTTTCTACTTGTCTACTCAATGATATTATTATAAGTATTTTAGTAAGATAATAATAATAATAGTTTCAAGATGTATAGGTGTTTTTTTTAAAACATCGTTATCGTCTCTCGAATAAACGATCTTAATTACAAATCTAGTTGGTTGTCTCATATTTTGATTTTTTTAAAAAATTAGACGTGTTCTCGTTTGGTTGATTATTCATATGTCATTTCTTGATCATCTATTTTATAAATATTCTTCTTGAAAATAGTTTGGTTAATAGTATAATTTTTTTTTTGAATAAGTTCGATAAAATACAATATTAAAACAAAAACCCTAGAACTTGGATCCTTGCAATATAATATGTGGGTTGACTCGAATTTTGGCATGGGCCTAATGGATGCCGTTCGTACCGGCCCATTTTCTTCCCAAATTGAAGAAGATACAGAAATTTGGGTTGTATTTGAGGACTTCTTGTGAAATAAGGTTGGTGATTCATAATCACATTTGCTTGAGGTGAAGTATTTTCTATCAAGACTATATACATGTTTGTTAATTATGTTATTTTTTATTTCTGTTTTTAAAAATTAAGCCTACTATTATCTATTCCTCATTATACCTGATTCATTCTTTTAATTCAACAATATATTGGGTGGAGATTTAAACCTCAAAAAATGTAGGATATATATCTCTAAAAGAATTAGAGATTAGAATTTGGATCCTTGCAATATAACGGGCGTGGGTCGACCCAAATTTAGAAATGGGTCTAATGGATGCTGTCTAGTCCGGCCGGTAGACTTTCGACCCATTTTCTTTCAAAATTGATGGAAATGCAGAAATTTGGCTACATATGAGAACGACTTCTTGCGAAACTAGGCTCGTAAAATCACCATAGTCAGTTAAGTATTTTCAATCAACATGAGCATATCTGGAATCCGTTTGATGACCATTTTATCTTTAGTTTTATGTTTTTAAAAAGTTAAGTATATGAATATATTCCACCCATCAAATCTTTTTTAACCTAACATCATATAAAGGTGAAGATTTAAACATTCGACCTTTTTATGGATAATATTTATTAACGATTGAGTCATGCATAGATTGGTTGTTATTGTAATTAAAAAATCAATATATCTATTATCAAATAAAACTAAAAATTCTCAAGTAATATAACAAAAATTAAACACTATTTAGGTCTTTATATTTTAAGCTTAATTTCAATTTTTTAGTTTAAAAAATTTCATTATAATTTATATATAATTGAGTTAAATCTCCAAAAATATCAATATCATCATCCTTTTAGTTCTACAGTATATTGAATTAGAGATCATATATACTTTCATTCGTTGAACTATCATTGTAATGAACATTTTATGAACATGAGGATGAATTTTGTAGGTTATGGTTTTAAAAGATATGTAGTACAACCCTATATTTTTAGCACGACCATTTTATCTTCGCACAATTAAGTACTCATGAAAATCAGTTCGTTACTTATCATCGTCATGTTAAAAAATATAACATGTCACGTTAAAAAAATTATAGGTACAGTAAATATAATTCTTTTATTGGTACATCTAACATGTGGGCGAAGATTCGAACTTGGTCATATATAGCTTAACCAATTAAGCTAGATTTAAGTTTGTGAAAAAGGCCACGTACCATATCTCCCTTTTAAATTACATTATCTCTCCTATTTATAGTTTTAATAAAATAAATTGGACCCTATATTTTTTAATTATTTTAAAATAAAATTACAAATAGAAAAAAAAATATATATAAATGGGTAACAAATAAAATATAATTATTATATTGATTAAATATGATAAATAAATTAACAATAAAATAACATATCAAAATGGTTAAGCAATAAAATTAAATTATAATATTGATTAGATAAGAAAAATAATTATTTAGTTATTTGAAAAAATAACTTTTCAAAAAAAAAAAACTGTACTTTAGATTACAAATATTCTTTAGACTAAAAGAACAAACAGATTGAATTTGGAGAGAGAAAATTTTACAAATGAACTGAGAGAAGAATGTGAAGTTATTGTAAAAATATTCAAATAAATACGATAGAAGGTGAAAGAAATTAAAGGGAAAAAAAGATAAAAATTATTTTCTGGAAAGTATAAATGGAAGAGAGAATCTAATTTAAATGAGAGAGAATTTTTGTACCTTTAGAATTGGGTCTACTTTTCTTTATTTATAAAATAATCTCGCAGCAAATATTAGAATAAAATTAATGGGAGTAGTATATAAATTTTTCTAGTGGCTCAAATTCTCTTTTACTTAAAATTAAAAATTTTCTACCATATTAATTTATGGTGTGTTATTTTTAAATTATATTGATTTGACGTGACATAACTCAATATAATTGGTATATTTTATTTTTAAATAATATTGATTTGACGTGACATGACTCAATGTAATTGAGATGTATCTCTAGTTAAGAAGATAGTGAATTTGGGATGTACAAAGTAGTATAAATTTTAATTTAATTAAATCAGTATATTAATAAGGAAAAAAAAAAGAAAAATTAATTTAAGGCATACGAGTTCACGCCACCGCCAGACCCATCGTAGAACATCCTAGAACCTTCCATTCAAACTAACCGCACCGACTGCTCTTCTGTTTCCTTTCCCTTCTGCAACTCCCAACGGAACAGAGAAGAAGAACAAGAAGAAGAAGCTGAAAGGTGGTAGCCATAGATTTAGCTTTAGCTTTGTGATCGCGGAACCGAACCGTCGGATCAATGGCTGCCGACGCCGAAGCTGCACCAGCTGCGGAGTTGGCGCTCGCTGATACTGACATCAACTGGGACAGGTTTCTCCACTAACTTTCCCTCTGCGACCGCGTTCCTTCCATTTTGCATCAATGCTCTGCTAATTTACTTTTCTTCATAGCGACTGTCATGATCCTCGCTGATTTTTGGCTTACCGCGATGATCGGTGGTGGTTTCCGTTTTAGGATTTCGCTCAAGGGACTAACAAAAGCTTTTGTGGAATTTTGATGGTTTGTCTGAGACCTGGAAAATTTTTGGTTACGAAATGCGTTAGATTCTGGCAGTTCATTCACTGACATCACTTTTTTTTTTTGTTCAATTCAATGAGCATTCGGATTTTGGAACTTAAACTGAGTTGATCTTCTATATTTGCTGATCATTGCACGGTATAACGTATAATTCGAAATTAGGCGATTTCTGGAGTTCTCCTACACTTTACTTCCAACGTTATCGTCTTGAATGATGCCCACACGTATGCCTTTAGGCTTTTCTTATCAGTAACACTCTTGCCAATGCTATTGTTGGTTCCTTCTCAAAATGCCATAATCTTTTGTTATTAAGAATCGGATTGGAGCTCGTTTTTAAGGATATTTTGTAATGTATTTCCATGCTTCGTGTGTTGTATTCCTGCTTCTTGTAATGTTACTGATGACTTCAACTAGGTTGGACAAGACAAAGTTTCATATAATTGGGGCAATGCTTTTTACTGTTCAGTCAGCCTTGTTACATCCCACAGCAGTTGTGAAGACTAGAATGCAAGTAGATGGATCTGGTCTATCTCACATGCGTGGAGTATCGGTTTTCTGGAATATATGGAAGTCTGATGGGATCTATGGCTTATTTAGAGGTTTTGGTACTTCAGCTATTGGATCAGTACCTGGTAGAGTACTGGCTTTAACATCACTAGAAGTATCAAAAGACATTATGTTGAAATATACTGGACATCTGGATATGCCTGAAGCAACACGTCTTGGCCTTGCAAATGGAGTCGCAGGCATGATCTCGCATTTAGCTTCATGCGTATACTATGTGCCATTGGACGTGGTAGGTGAACCTTTCCTTTCGAATTCGATTTTTATGAAAAATTTTGCTTTGAGGATTGGAACTGAAACTTGATGAGAATACTCTTTAAGACTTGATTAATATACAAAGATTTTCCACCCATGGTCCATGGTCCTAAGTTCCCCTGCTAAATATCAATTTTAGTTTTTAGTTCAGAGTCTTCAGACTTGTTTTCTCTCTACTTGTTTCGAACTCATAAAATATTTATGGTTAAAAGCACAACTAAGTTTAACTCTTGTTTGAATGAGAGATGTAGCTCTGCTACTTGACAGTTTAGGATTTCTAGTAAATTAAATGAACACAGCTTTATGTTTTAGGCTGTATCTACTACTTTTGATGTCCCTGAATAATTATGCAATGTCAATTGTTATTTTTAGATTTGCCAGAGGCTGATGGTTCAAGGGCTACCTGGAACCACTTTCTGCAATGGTCCAGTTGATGTTGTCAAAAAAGTGATGAAGGCTGAAGGATTTCGTGGTTTGTATAGGGGTTTTGGACTAACAGCTGTAACTCAGTCCCCAGCATCTGCTCTCTGGTGGGGTGTCTATGGTGCTGCTCAGCATATTATCTGGAGGTGCAATAATTTTCTAGCATTGTCCTCAGTATTAATTCGTTAATATGGTTAAAATCTTGGACTGTGAAGTAATCTAAACTTTATTAGGAGCTTAGGATATGAAGATAGCATGGAGAATAAACCTTCTCATTTGGAAATGGCGACAGTTCAGGCTGCAGCAGGAATGGTGGCAGGTGCTTGTTCCTCTGTCATCACGACTCCTGTGGACACAGTAAAGACGCGACTTCAGGTAACGTAGTAACTTGAATTAGTGCGTCAGTATGAGAGGGATATGGATACACATATATATATGCGTGTCACTAGTATGACATAATGAAAAGACTGAAGAGAGGTGCTTTCTTTTATCTGGATCTTTTGTATTCAAATGCAGGTGATTGATAACTATGGAATTGGTAGACCATCTGTGCTCAAGACTACAAGAGCACTTCTCCACGAAGATGGCTGGTTGGGATTTTATAGAGGCTTCGGACCCCGGTTTTTGAATATGTCGCTTTATGGAACTACGATGATAGTGACTTATGAACTGATTAGTAAGTCTGGATTTCAAGTTTTTCTATTGTAAAACACGTAGAGTTATTAATCCTGCTTCTCACCCAGTTTGTAATTAAATTTTATCAATAATAGTCACTATATAGTAGTTATTATAAAAGATTATAACTGCCCTTATATATGTTACCCACGCCTTGTGCATTCTGTTAACTCTTTAATATGATTTTCATCAGAGAGACTTTCCGTGAAGGAGGAGATCGTGACATGCTGAACGGGAGGAGGTGCCTTGCTCCTACGTGACTTAGAATCAATAGAACTGTAAGCTAGCGGCTTAATGTTTTTTTCGTTCTTTTTTTCCTCTTTTTTTTTTCCCTCTTTTCTGGAGTTTGGGGGATGGGTAGTAGGCAGCTTAAATTAGTCGCAGATTAAACGTAGAAGCATCATTGACACAGCACGGAACTATGATAACAGTAGACGAAACGTAGTTCATTCCATTCCATTCTTCCTCAATGTAAACTGAAACGCAGAGGTGTCCTTTTTCATTCTTAAAATCACCAATATCAATTTCATTTTGATCACAAATGTATTATGATGAATCATATTTCTCACACGCGCACAAAAATTAGCTTAAATTAGGAGCTTTTTCGTAGTCAATCTTCAGGTTCATAGGTCCTAAACTATAAATAATTTTGTGTTTATTAAAACTCTTAACCTATTAGATATTATGAATTTATTAATCATTTCTGGACTGAAGTTTAGTGTACTGTGAAACATTTCTAAAGTTAATTTATGAATTTATTAACCACTTCTGAACTAAAGTTTAGTGTACTATGAAACGTTGGTAAAGTTTGGAAACTTATTTTCAAGTACTAAATTTGAACTAGATCCCACGTTAAAAAGATAAAGGACATAACAAAAGTTTATAATATAAGTGGGTTACTTCTCTCATTATCGATAGAACTTATGCATATTAATATGGTATTGAGCCTAAAATTTCAAACGAGCGTTCGGTCAAAAAATAAGATCTAGCTAAGATTAGTGAACCCAAGAGAATCACCATCTATGTTAAGATCCCACGTTGAAAAAAGGGACATAATCAGGGTTTATATAATAAGTTGGTTATTCCTTTAATCATCAAACGATGAAAATGGGACATAATCAGGGTTTATATAATAAGTTGGTTATTCCTTTAATCATCGAACGTTGAAAAAAGGATATAATCAGGGTTTATATAATAAGTTGGTTATTCCTTTAATTATCAATTTATTTTGTGATGGAATCACGAATCACCCGAAAACAGCCTTCTCCCTCCCTCCACCCATGTACATGGTTGCAATTCTGTTGGAGCTGCTGCCCGGTGATTTAAGGTACCAGAATATTGCGTCTTTTTTGGTTGGGCAATAATATTGCGTTTTTTAATCTGTTCTAATGTTACTAAATTGTGGATAGGTGAAGGGCTGGTAGCGCTGAATGAGACCAGCCAGTATGATCGATCAAAAGAGTTCGGGTTCGAGAGGAATAAAATATCTTCAATCTGCATATATCCACTGCTAGATTTTCATACGCTGATCGAATCATCGAGGGCGATTTCAAAAATACTCATCCAGATGTCGTTGTCGTGTTCCCTAAAATGCAATATTTGGACACAATCGAGTTGTTGGATAGCCGTGAGGAAGGAAAAAAAACGGAGAAAATTGGATACTGGACGTGGGTGTTCGTGGAGAGAGACAAGTAGATACCACATTTTTGTCAAAATACACGCAACGTCTCACCAGTTGACACGAAAACTGCCACGTTCGCTTCATGCAGCAGACCAGGAAATCGCCAAAGCGGCATATATATACACGTAAGGGGAAAGAAAGAAAACACATCAGAACTCAGAACGCGGAGAAGAGAGTATTTCGAATTTGAACTCTTTCACGTTTACGTACCCCCTTGTGTAGGAAAGAAGTAGGAAAATATGCCAGGCCTTACAATCGGCGATGCAGTACCCAACCTTCAAGCCGATAGCACCCATGGGAAGATCATTCTTCACGACTACATCGGCGGCGGCTGGGCCATCATCTTCTCTCACCCAGGTACTTTTGGATTTGCGAGTTAATATTGATGAACATTGTGGCTTGCAAAGATAAAATATTATGATGGTTTGTGGGCATAATGGAAATTTAATACTGTGGTTGTTTGTGGGTTTTGGCATTGGGTTGCATGCAGGTGATTTCACTCCGGTGTGTACCACGGAGCTAGGGATGATGGCTGCTTACGCAGAGGAGTTTGGTCGAAGGGGTGTGAAGCTCATAGGATTGTCTTGCGATGATGTTCAATCTCATACCGAGTGGATCAAAGATATCGAAGCCTACAATGTGAGCTTTTTTTATCTCTATCTTTTCCCTTGTTTGTCTGCTGATGTTACCGATCCGCACCCATCTTAAGAGACTTAATTTTTTCTGTTACAGAAAAAATGTTTCTTTTTCTCTCTCTCTCCCACTTGTCAAGTGGTTAAAGAACGTGTTATATATATATATTATATGAACAATATTTTTGCCCGTCCGGTGTGGTTTATTTGTAGATAAGTAGATCACTAATATTTTTAACCACTGAAAACCCATAATCCACAAAGAGAACTTTGAATAAAGAATGATTACTTCTAACTTAAAAAATAGTAGTTACTGTTGTTAATGGGTGTTTTTCTGGACATAGAATGAAAATACAGGTATGGATGTTTTGAAATTTTGAATGCATGTAGTTAATTATGTTTTTTTTTTAATGATATCACCTTTGTGGGGATTCGAACCTTGTAATGAAATTTGGGCGTATTTAGTTACGGGTTTTGTATATGTTGTGTTAATTTATAGTGAATTTAGTAGGAAGATACCTGTATGATTTATATCCAGTGCCATCCCTGAACTATATAATCTTATAGTTCCAAGTTCAAGGTGATCATAATTGGTAAAGTATGAGGGTGACTGATTGATTTAGGGCCCGTCGGGTAACATTCTTGTAATTTAAGTAACTTAAATTTACGAGTAACTTACAAATGTGGTTGCAGAAAGGAAAAAGGGTGACATATCCAATACTGGCCGATCCGAATCGGGAGATCATCAAAAAGCTGAACATGGTCGACCCCGACGAGAAAGATTCGTCGGGGGCTCCAGTGCCTTCGCGGGCGTTGCACATTGTCGGTCCGGACAAGAAGGTGAAGCTGAGCTTCCTGTACCCAGCAAGTACAGGGAGGAACATGGAGGAAGTGATGAGGGTTGTGGAGTCTCTGCAGAAGAGTGCAAAGCACAGGGTGGCGACCCCAGCGAACTGGAAGCCCGGCGACAAGTGCTTCATTGCGCCGAATGTGCCGAACGAGGAGGCCAAGGAGATGTTTCCTCAAGGCTTCGAGACTGTGGAGCTTCCATCAAAGAAGGAATATTTGCGTTTCACTGCTGTGTGAATAAGAAGCAGCTAAGCTAAACTAAACTAAGGCTCTAAAATGTGAGAGATTTTGTGTGCATGTGTGTGTGTATGTGGGAATGAGGGTCTCTCTTTGTGTGTGTGTATGTGGGAATGAGGGTCTCTCTTTGTGTGTGTGTATGAGAGATTATGTGTATGTGGTATGATGAAGCAATAACTAACCTTATGGTTCTCTCTGTATTTGCAACAGATAGAATGGATTAAATAACAAATGCCTCATATATCTTATAAGAGGCTCAAGAGGACCATGATCATATATATCTATATAATTTCTCATTATAATTCCTTAAGATTTCTATTCAACAGATCACACACTAAATGGGGGAGTCAACAACCCATAATCAATTTACTCAATATGTCCATTCTTTAATTTGTTATTCAAATATTTACCTTCAATCAGGATGTTGATGGGGTGGGATGAGTTAGATTGAGGCACTTTTTTAGATTCGATTCAATTTAATTGATCTGGTTGGATTGGTTCGAGTCATTCCGGACAATTTATTCAACTTGGATCATTTGGGCAACTTATTCAAAACTCGGGTAAAGGTTTTAAACATTTATTTACATATTATTAACCTTTAATCACATTTATAAGGTGAAATTTCACCTTAAAAATTAAAAATTTTATTTTTAGAAATTGCTGTAGAATAAATAATCTTAAAGGAAATAAAATTAAAATAAATATATCCCATATACTTTTTTTATAATTAAAATAAATGATTAATAATTAAAAAAATGATTTTAAAATTAATAATAAGTTTAGAGTAGTTCGGTTCCATCTTAGGTGAATTCTTGAATCAATCCAACCAATTTATTTGAATACTGTCACGAGGTATAGGGTCCAGTATGAAGTACGAGAATACTGTCACGAGGTATAGGGTCCAGTATGAAGTACGAGAACAAATTAGAATTAAACTAACTTACTTTTACGAGAACAAATTAGAGTTAACAAATTAGAATTGAACTCAAGTCTTAAAGTGAAATGACCAAAATTATAACTTAACATTTCTTTTTTGAAAAGAAGCCACGTCAAGATGTTGACATTTCCATGTATCCATAGATTCGATGTTGACATTTCCATGTATCCATAAATTCGACATCGACACGAGGGAAAATCGACGTTTCCATAATATTAAAAAAGATTAATAAATTATGAAAAATATCAACAAAATTTCACAAATATTGACATAATATTAATATTAATAATTTTTGACTTATTTAGAAATAAATTATTATTTGTCAATTTAAAATTTTTTGGAATTTTTTTATTTTTATAACTTTTTCAGAATTATCACATTTTTATAAAATTGAGAGTCCTTTTGCAAAAAATAAAATTGAAATTTCAATATTTTTATTGTTTAAAACGTTAGGTAGTATTTAACTCAGGAATTCCTCCACAGTGTGAAATGGTTGGGAGAAACCTACAAATTTTCAAAACTACTCTGGTAAATTCTGTTGGATTTTGTTTGAATTTGTGGGCTGTAGTTGGACTTTTTTTACAATATCTTTGCAGGCTTTAGGGATTAGCTGTAAGCCTGTAACACATTTTACATCCCCACAACGTAATCCAACCATTATCTTCTCTTCTATGATTCGCATAGTGAAAAAATAAAATAAAACAAAATCCTAGTTCTGTATTTCTTCCATTTTTGTTGATTTTGATTTAACTTTTGTTAATTTTAATTTTAATTTATGTATTTGTTCATGTTAGTCATGGTAATTTTTAAAAAATTTATTAAACGAAGTTTGATGTTAAAATTATGGTAGAAAGAAATGAGATGACAATTAAAGTAAAGAAAATAAAATGAAAAAAAGGACAAAAATGGAAAGATTAAAATATTATTAAAAAAAAAAAAGAAAAAAATCCAAGGGAAGGGTTTTGCTTTGGCCCACTGAAAGAGCCTTTTCCTTCTCTTTTGACGAACTTCTTATGGTGTCTCCCTCCCACACCACCACGGCGCCACCTCCTTTTCAACGGTCTAGAACGGTGCGTGTCTACTGGTTTGGTTACTAAATTTTAAATTTGGATCAATAAAACAAATGATTCGTACTTTTATAATATTGTTTTATTGATTTAAATTCTTTACTTTCAAAATTTTGAAATATCCATTTTCATCCTGATTCTCAGTCTCGAGAACAAAATGAGTTGGAGACTAAAATATCCTAAAAGTTGATAAATTTTAATCATTCTACGTGTTTGTGTATGGAAATGTGTTTGTCTAAACTTTAGACCATCAAATTTATCCTTTCCGTGAGTCAGGTAACCTGCAAGATAAAGATGAGCACTCTGATGTCTAAGTCAATCGGAGAAGGGATTTGAACATGCCTTGTTGGTGTACCTACCAATTTGTCTTATAGGTGAATGAGGAAGGAGTGGTATCAATTTTTTGTGATCTCCTCGTTCGGTCAAGGGATGTGTCGGAAATTACGGACCACATTTAACAACATTTACTCCCTTCCTATAAACTCTGCACGTTCTCGTACTCGCGGGGTACTAAATAGGTCAGCAAAACTGGAGATGCCTTGAAAAGATTAGACATCGATCTCAATCATTGCTGGTATGCGAAGCTTGGTGGATGTCACTTTGAGTCTTAGACAAGGCAAAACGCTTTATCTTGTCCAACCCAAGCTGAGAATTCGACAACATTGAGAAACAGTTAGAAACTGCTCAACAGCCTCACTAACCAAAGTAACCAACTAACGACGGTTGTAACAGAAAGATTCCCTCTTAACCCCTATAAATACGTCTTCACCCCCACTTACATGTATGTATTGGATAGATTCGAGATTGAGACTGACTTGAGCATCACAAAGTTTGTTATTTGCATGCAAGTTTTCTTACATACCTTGTTCCGCTTAACTCCGCTAGTCAGCTCGCGCGAATTTCGAACCATTCAGAATATAGCATAAATAAATACTACTTTTATTCTTATACTTTCATTTTTTGTTTAGTTTAATTCATGTACTTTTTTTATTATAGTCATTTTCATCTAAGTACTTCCGAACCTTTTTTTTCCTTTTTTAAATCTTAGTCCATATCCTTTTGAAAGGTTTGTTTTGCTTCCAACATTACTAGGTTTTAATTATATATAGAATTTGTGTGAAAATTTTATAAAAACATGGCCAAAATGTGTGAATCAAAATCAACCAAAGCTAAAAGTATTTCAACCAAAAAAAAGAAAAGATCATACTAGAATGCACATTGAAATTAAGTTTAGAGTTAAAATGGACAAACAAAAAGTAGAATAAAAAGTGAAATTTACCTTGGAAGAAGAAAGTATCTTTCGTGAACTTATGGAGCAAACTCCGCAATTTCAGTCCCTCGAAATTCTCACTACCTCCACCACCTGAGCTCTTCTCCTCCTCTGCAGATGGCGCCGGTTCCTCTTTCCGCCATCTCCGGCCGCCGGAGCCTCACATTTCCATGGCCGCCGCTGCTGCTGCTGCTGTTACCAGCGACGATCTTCCCTGCTCTCACATTCGCCTCCCCCTGCCGGACCTCCTGCGGCAACATTCCGATCAAATACCCCTTCGGAGTCGACGACGGCTGCGGAGCCCCGCAGTTCCGCCGCATGTTCAATTGCTCCACCGATCTCTTCTTCCTCACTCCCTCCGGCAGCTACAAGGTCCAATCCATCGACTACGACAAGCAATCCATGGTGATCTACGATCCGGCCATGTCGACCTGCTCGATCCTCCAACCGCACCGCGATTTCGCAATGGCGGACCTCCAATCGGTCATCATTCCTCCGGCGCCGGACACCGTCTTCGCTCTGCTCAACTGCTCGATCGATTCTCCGATCCTGAACCACTACAAGTACCTGTGCTTCAACTTCTCCGGCCACTCGTGCGACGAGCTTTACGGCGCCTGCAACGCGTTCCGAGTGTTCCATCTGTTGACGAACAGCTCGCCGCCGTGCTGCTTCACCGGATACGATACGATGAAGTTCATGAGCATGAACATTCTGGATTGCTCGCATTACACGACGGTGTTGAATACGGAGAATCTGAAGGGCGTAGGGCCTTTGGATTGGATTTACGGGATGAAATTGAGCTTTTCTGTTGCGGATTTGGGATGCGATCGCTGCTCCAAATCGGGAGGGACCTGCGGATTTGATACTGAAACCGAAGGATTGCTCTGCCTCTGCTCCGTTTCTTCCAATTATACCAGGGATTGCGGTAAGCTACTCATCAATTTTGCATTGCACCCTCTCCATTTTTATTTCAGGCTAAATTATTCTACATTCTTTCCATATTCTTTCCAGTTTTCTACGGATCCACCTCACACCAACAAAGCATACGCTAATTACCGTTCAACTTTGATTACTTTTTTTTTTCAATTTAAATATATTTTAATTTTGTCTCTCACCGTTGATAAAGGTTAAATTTAAATAATGATAAACTTAATATAACACGATAGTGAATTTGACGGAAATTTAGAGGAGGAAAAATATTATCAGTTTTGTAATTTCTTACCAAATTTTCTAATAAATTAGTAGGAGGTCGAGTTTTTCCTCTATAAATTTTCACAAATTCAATTTTGTTATCGGTAAATTGTAACGAAATAGAGAATAAATTAAAAAAATATTAAAATATTAGAAACTAAAATAAAGATTTTTCATTATTCAAAATGTTCATAAACTTTGAGGTTAGTTTCAATTTTAAAGAATTCACTCATGCTCTTTGATTTTTAAAATTAGTTTAGGGAATAAAATAGAGATTTTAAAAATTTTAGGACAAAAAGTGAAATAAACTTTAAAATTTAAGATTAAATTATAAGTTTAGTAATTTAACTTTGCTTGGGTCTAGTAAGTCTATAAACGTTAAAAAGTGAATAATAGGTGACTGAAACTTCTAATTTTGTATTTAATAAGTCTTTGATCTTGTATGTAATAGTCTTGATCTATTCAAAATTTGAAAAAAATTCACGGATCAAATAGGTCAGGAAACTACTAGCACAAAATTGGCGGCTCATAATCTATTTAAAAATTTTAAAGTTTAAAAACCTATTACACATCAAATAAAAAGTTTATAGCTCTAGTAGATATTTTTTAAATTTGGACCTATTAAACACAAACATAAAAGTTCAAATACCAAATTTGTAATTACGATGATAAAAACGAGATCAAAGAAAAGTGCTAATTCTAATCTAACTAACGAATGTGTGGCATTGTGTGTGTTTCAGTTGGTGGGAACTTTACCGGCGGAGGATATAATCGAGCTCCGGCAGCACTCATCGGAGCATTCATCTTTATTTTGCTAAGTATTGCTCAACTCACTCTCAACTCTTAAGCCATTGGCATCAAAATGTGGTACTAATTATTTGGTGATTAGACAATGTTTTTCCTAAGTGGAAAAAATTCTTAGATTTGGATTTTTCTTTTCAAGATGTTTTATGAGGAGGGGATATCAAAGCAAAAGGGTCCCTAATCTTTTAAGATTTTTATCCACTTGGTCCTCTTTTAAAATCATTAATTTTACATCTAATATATTAAAAGTTATCAATTACATCAAGAAATTTGTTAACATAAAGTTAATATGTCATAAATTATTATTTTATTAATGTATTTAGAATTACAAACATGCTACTTCATCATGCTATTTGAAAAAAAAGTGAATTTTGCTAATCGATCGATCAAATTTTTTTGATGAATGGATTGAATTTCAAGTGTTAAGTAGCATTCGAGTGACATGCTCACGTGTCTTAAATGTATTCGTATAACAATAATTTAATGATACAAAATTTTTGTTAACAATGTTTTCTATTGAAATTTTTTATTGAGAATTTTTAATATAAAAAGAGTAAAATTGGGTTGGAAATTGACTCCGCGGTATTGGAAATTGATTCAATTACCTCTGAGAGCTCATGTTGGTTTTTTTGAATTATTATTTTGTTTAGAACTGTAATAGAGCTGCTAAGCTGACGTAGATTTAGAAATGGAATCAAAATAAAAAATGTGTCACACTCACATATACAATTTGGTAATGTCTTGTAATGCAATAATATAAACGATTTGTGAGATTTATTTAAACTTTTCAAATTTTAAAACAATATCAATTAAAACCCCAGCTCAAAAAAAAAAAAAATTCAAATTAGCAATTCAAAATTTTAATCAATGATTTCTTTTTTAGAGGAAAAAAGTTGCGAGTATGTTCTTTAAAAAAGTAGTTGCAATATGAAAATATTTTAAAACTAATAAATCATTTTGTCCCAAAAAAAAAAACCATGAATTAACTTTTTGTAGTAAAACATTAAATCACTAATTAACGTAGTGTATTAGATTTGCTAAAGCAAACATAGTTCAACGGATTTGCTAAAGCGAACATAGCTCAACGATAATTGACATATATCTTTGATAAAGAGGTTGTAAGTTCGAATCTCCTCCCCAACATGTTATACTAAAAAAAAAACAAGTGCGTTGGTTAACTACTATTGAGCTAAACTCATAATGTTCATAATGTTAATAAGTATGACTTTCTTAATATGATAGTCTATATGATTTTTTTTAATCCATGATAGTGCATATGATTAATCTAGATAGATATTAATAAACTATGATCACTAAATAACTTAATTAACTTAACGTTTTGAAAAAAAAAACTTAATTAACCTAACTTGTATATATCCCCTCAAAAAGGAAAAAAAAAGCTTAACTTGTATATATAATCATTTTTTATATAGTACTTTTTTGAGATAATACTTAACTTATATAGATTAATAATTATCACTGATTTATTGTCACAAAAAAAAAATAACCACTGGTTTACATATAATAATTAACGGTTACTTATTCTCAAAAAAATAAAATATAAAAATAACCGTCACTTACATATATTTATTAATGATCATCAGTAATTTACCTGTAATTGTAATTATTTTTCAGCTGTTATTTTTAAGTATGTTATCAAAATTATGTCAGAGTTGCAACTTACCCTAATTTAACCGAAAATTAAATGCTGTTATTTTTAAATTAAATTTACCTTCTCCCCTTTATTCAACCCTTTATTCAACCTGTTCAGTTCAACCTAAAAAGATCCGTTAAGCTAAGTAATCAAATAAACAATTCAGTCATTTTTTCTTCTATGGTGAAAATATAAACCAACTTCAAGAAGAGACATATTTTTTCCCCAAAAAACATTTCAAAACTTGAGTTATTTACATTTTGACCAAAAAAAAAAAAGAGTGAAAAACCTTTCTTTCTTATGCAATTAGTCATTATTTTTTCCTACACATTCTAAGAGGTTAAAAATGACATATTTACAATGTAAACTGTAACCTGATGGCAGAATCACAATAGTTACTGATCAGCAGCTGAAAATTGAGGCAAATGTCTTTCCTTATGGGTGTCTTGTGAACTCTCACCTTGATTTGAGGCACTGGTTTCTTCCTCATTTATCTGCCATGGGACAAATGATAAAAATAAAATAATTTAAGTTCGACATGTGGGGTGGAGATTTGAACCTTTAAACTTTTGGTTGAAGATATGTCTTAATTAATTGAACTATATTCGAGGACAAATGATAAAAATGAATAAAAAAAGACCAGATGTGCCAAAGATATGGTTCTTCTTCCTCTCACAAACATCAGTCTGTTCATTGAACAGGCGAGAAAATCTATTTAAAATGAAACACTTTTTTTCAATAAGTACTAATAACATGCTTTTTTCATGATTTTTAAATCAATGAAAAGTGTAAAAAAACTAATTAAAAAACTACAGAAAAAAGTGTTTTACTTGCAGCAGAAACACTTTATAAAACTACAGGCCGAGAGGAACTTCAATTGGTTTGTTGTTGTTTTTTTTCCCAAGGTAATTATAAAAAGAAAATTTATAAAAACTACTCTCAAAAAGTTGAGAATGCAGGGAATAATTTTAAACTAATGAAAAATACTTGTAACTAATTAAAAATTTTAAAAATTCATGTAAAATCATTTCACTCTCTACGATTCTTTGTGCTCTTAAATGTTCTTAAAATTCAGAAAACATCAGAGCTAAACATCATTCGAATTGAAATATGCTTTTTATCAATCAAGAACACTTCTAACGTCTTGAAAAAACTATCCCAAAATGAATGGATCTTTTCTCTCCCTATTATTTGTTGGTCTATTGTTTCATAGTTGAGTGAATGAACAGAGAAAGTGGATAGAGATTTTTAAGTAGAGGGTAGTAATTGAGGTTACCTTAAAATTGTCAAACTTTGCTACCAGTCTCATATACTGATGGCGAGCCTCGGGAAAACGAGCCATGGACTTGACGCGAGATAGAGCCTTTTCAACACCAGCATATTTTAGCTTGCGGCCAATTCGTAGAAACTCATATTCATCACTTTTCTCCACCTGTGGGTGTGGGGTAACAACTGTTCCAGTTGCCCCTTCAGCCTTGAACCCTCGCAAACCGACTCTTTTCCGCCTCCAACGCAGAATTGCCTTTTCTACAATACTAACAGACCAAATGACCTTTCTATACTGTTTACGAACTTGATATCCTCTCACATGAGCCTGAAAAAGCAATAAGCATGTGTTTGGATACCGATCTTAAGAAAATAAATAGAAATTAAATTATGATATAAAAGGGAAGCACACACTGGTATAGCCTCTCGAGAGGGCTCTCTCTCCCGCAATGGACTAATGCTCCATAATTTCTTATCCTCCACAATGCACGAAGTCCCTCTACTTAACCTACCCCACCCTAACCAAACTATTAAAGAAATTACAAATATGTCACAACTAATATTAAACCCCTAATGAATGAGGAAATACAAGCATAAAAACTAAATTATGAGCAAAAGTACCTGGATTTTGACGATTCGGTTTCTTATCTTCAAAAATTCTTTTCTTCCCTTCCAGCCACGATAATTTTGTTGTATCCTCACAGCTGCAACATGTAAATAATCCTCATAGTGAATTTTTTGAGCCTTGTTTAAAATGCCAAGAGCTACTAGGTCAAGTGAATCTTCAGGTATCATCTCCTTGTCACTTTCCATTAATTGTTTATGACGAAATGAACGAGCACGGAAAGCGGCATGAATTAAGGCAGCAGCACGAACAGACTTCCTAACAGCAGCGAGAGAGCTTTTCAGGGAAAGGAGCTCATCTTCCGCCATCTGTGATGATACAACATCTGCAGTCTGAATAGCCTCATCAAAGTTAACATTTTCCTCGACATTGTCCACATGATTTTCACCATTGGTCAAAGTACGCAAATGTTCTGCAAGATCAGCTTCAGCTAAATACCCAGAAATTCCCTTATGCCCTCTACTTGATGCCAAATCTGCAGCTTTTTGTCCTTCTGGAAATCCTGAAGTTGGGTCGTCCACGGCACCAGGAGCAGCCCCAAACCTAATCAGTGTAGTGACTGTATCTTCCCTGAGGATCAGAGGACAAAAAGGACATAAAAATGGTGTAAAAGACTAGTCCAAGGTCTACATAAGAAGATTTGGAGCCATGGTATTCTTTTAGAAACAAGCACAACTCCTCCAGAACCAGAACCTAAGTGAAAGAGAACATAGAATGTAAACTAATGCTTAAAAATCCAAGACGTCAATCTAACCTCCCAAAGTAGGACGCCCAGTGAAGAGCTGTCCTTCCATTTGAATCTCTGAAGTTTGGACTGATCCCAGAAGCAACTAATGGACCTATGGCCCATTCATAGCCAAGAGCAGCTGCCAAATGTATGACGCCCTGGCCCTCATCATCCAAAACATGTGTTCCCCTAGTCCCTTCGTGAACCTTGCATACTAGCCACTCGCAAAGTTTGTCCTCCAGCAAAGTTTGAATCATCAAATCCCTAGGGGTCATTTGCTCACTTTTTAGTGCAGTAGAAATCCCTTTCATCATTCTCCATTTTGCACTATTACTTCTTTCTGAATTTATCAAGCTTCTGATTTGGCATTTCTCACATTTTTGGATAGAGCAATTCAACCACTTTTCCTCTACACCTAAATTCAACAAGCTTATCAGACGCATTTGGAGCCGTATTTCATCTTCTGGTGCACTGGCAGTGATAGCATCAGGTACTGAAAGGTTTGGTGGCTTTTCACGATATTCAAACTCTCTAACCTCACTGCAGGCTAGCCTATTACAGCATGTCACGTAAAAGGGAATACGCCCTGGAGCATGCAAAGGAGGAGCTTGACATCGAAGTACATTGTTTGTCAGAACTTCTGCCGGAACCTCAACTTCACCAAACATGCATCCCCACTGATTTTCTGAAGAAAGTTTTTTGCTTCCCAGAAATGAGCCAACTATTAGGACCTTCATTAAAGAAAAAAAGGAAAAAAAGAATGTCATACATCAAATACCCAGCCTTAATGAACCTAAGGGGAAAAGAACATGTCATAAAATAGTCAATACCACACCTTTGTTACATTTCCACGATATGTCCAATCCGGGGAATACTCAATAATACTGAATAACTGTTCTTGGGAAAGAGAAGGCCCCAGTGAATCAACATCCAGCTGCATGTGATGTGAAAAACTGGACACTTCCTTCTCATTATTTCCAGCATTAAGTGTGCACCAATAATTACCAGAGTCCAAAGTCATCAAAGAATCATTACAGTCTCCTCCAATTTCCTTATCCATCCATCTGCTGAAACTGTCGAGTTTTTTGAGTTCTCCAAAACCTTCATGGTTCAAATTATCTTTTAATGTCTTTTCTACCTTAACACAGGAATTATCTACCACCTGAGAATCAGAACACATACAAAGTAGACGAGATAAGTTCAAGCCATGCTTCTTTTTCTGAAGCAATAAAATAGAGGATTGGGTACTTCACGAATAAAAAACATAACAATAGAGAAAAACAAATAATCAGAGTACATGAATCAACGGTTAAAACTACTAATTGCCTGACAGCACCAGATATCTTGAAATCATAACTCTACGTTTTATAAGTAACTAAAACATTAAGAAATCTATTTATATATATACACATATATTAGTAGACAAAGGATGCACTACACAGTGTAGATTCAAATGTTCTGTCATAAAGATTAATGATACTATCAGAGTAATTTCATAAACCCAAATCACAAAATAAATATGTTGATCATAAATTGCAATCAACAAACCTGAACAGTTCTCTGAGTAACTGCTTTCGCTGCAGGTATATCTGCATCGGCAATCAAGCCATCTTCACTATTTACCATATCTTTCTCTAAGCCACAAAAAGCCAATCTAGCATCTGTCAACTCATGCGTAATGGAGTCTGTTGTGCCAGATTGTATAATCACGAATTCTTGTTCAGACAAGACAGATGACCCTGCACCATCTCAAACCAGAAAACAAAACCCTAATAAGCCAGCTAGACATAAACCCAAAAAATGGATCATTTTTAAACTCCCTGCCGTAAGACTAAACATGATAAACCAGAAAGTAACAAACAATTGTAATTACAAAGTTTCAAAAGTAATTGATGTAGTAAATTTTGCTTTTTTTCTTTTTTTTTTTGGGATAAGAAACACTTGTATTAAAAGTCAAAAAAGAGGCACAGCCTAGCTTTTCTTGTAATATGGAACAGGACTACGTTCCATTGGACAAATGTGCTGAACATAGCCAGAACCAGAAGCCTACAAAAGCCAAAGCTAAAACAAAAAAAAAATCTTCCAATTGATACAAGTCGTAACTACTAACTATGAAAAGCTTATTAAGAGAACTCCAATGGGAGGATACATGTAACGATCTCCATCACAACAGTCCCTATCCAACCCTTGGAAGATCTTCCTATTCCTCTCATTCAGACTTCCTATTGGATAACACCAACAGGATTTAACCAAAGGGCCTTAGCTTTCTTCTTAAGATGCTCACTGCAGAGCATTCAGAAAATGAAGTTCAGATTTCTAAGGAAAAGCAGTAGCTTGATCAAAAGTTTTCAGCAGCTTAACCCAAAAATAAAAAAAAAGAGAAAGGGCAACAAAGGAACAAATAGTCAAGTTTCTTCCCCTTTATTACACCAGTCTCACACACCGCAATAACAAAAATTAGTTTTCTTGGCAAGCTCAAACATTTAAAAAGATGAACTTTACAAGAAATTTTTAATTACTTGGGCCAGACTTTTAATAAGCTTGGTCCTCTGGCTCTGATATTCAAACTAACACTGACCGACCATAGACAGAGATAACCCGCAGCTCTTCAAAACAAAGAGTAACAAAGCCATATGTTTATCACTTGTGATTTTGCTGCTGATTTCTGGAACAGGATCCCAGGATCCTTTGGGAGGCAGATTCCTCTCACCTCTAATATGAATATTCTCCTTCTTTCCTTTTTGGTGGACCATCATTTCAAAAAAGATGGAGGAATTCTATGGGAGCAACTGATTCAAGCCTTTCTATTGACCATTTGGCAAGAAAGGAATAACAAAATCTTTAATAACAAATCTCGCCCTTCCAATAGATTTTATGATCAAGTTTTTGTATTGGCTTTGGAATGGTGTAAATGCTTTTATTCCTTATTCACAAATTATAGTCTTGACAATCTTTGACTAATTGGAAGGCTTTTCTGTAATATCCAGTGTTTTGGAAATCTCTCATGTTATCTGTATATTTCATATATCAATAAAACATTTGTTTCTTACCAAAAACAAAAAGGGAAAATTCTTGAGAGTGGAGGAACAAAAATGCAGCATTTTAGTTTTACCTGCAGGCAAATATACAGGCGACATACTGGATTTAAGCACATGATTAACATCAGAAGAGACTACAGAGTCATGTCTGATGCTAGAATCCACACCCCCATTCTCTGAGCGCACTATTTGCCTAAGAATTAATGGACATGAAGTATGAGCTGAGCCAACAGGTGAATTTGCCTGCAGAAAGACGGGTGTTGTACCACCTTGATGGCCTCCAGCCTGTGACCCTGGATCAACTGACACACGAGAGATGCCAGACTTGTAACCCTACATCCCTCCAACAGTTCAATAGACAACACCAAAAATAAAAAATAATAAAAATAGAAGTAAAAAGCCCAGGCACTTGGACAAGAGTAGAAAATCGCTACAGTACAATTTAATAAATTCAACTAATCCATTTTTAATCATGAGTAACAGGTGTTTGAACAAAAGGTCACAAAACTCCTTGGCTAGTAATTTTGATTTCGTTTTGTTGTCAATTTTATGAAAAAAAAAAAGAGTCTAAGAAGTTTGTCTAAATCATATTTGAGTTATAATATATGTTTCAAGAGTCCACATAATTTTAAGAACTCAAGGACACAGTAGTACAAACTATAGAACACATCCTGTTCAAGTAAATTAGATTTGTTTCAAGAGCCCACATAATTAGTCAAACAACTCACAAGTAAGCTAGCTGACAAAGGAATTTTTGCAAAAATAAACTAATTTCAATTGATAGAAGTAGAACACAAACGATAGCAAGGAGGATGATAAATCTCAATTTATTGATCAAATAAGTAGAAGAAACAAGCCTAGGGAGAATTTGAGAGCTCCCCTCTCCTAACTCTAACCAATTAAATAATCGAAGATGCTTCCTAATGACGCCTACTGACCAACATATAGTTTCCTACCAGCTAATTGGGCAGGTTTACCCACTACAACCTATATTGGTCTCGCCCAGTATAAAAGCTCATTAAATACATGACCCCAAAATAATAACAAAAGAAACCCCTAATCATGCTTACTCCTCTCTCTCCCTCGTGTACCCTTTTTCTGCTATACAAGCACAATAGTACCTAGCTCTTCAGTTTTAACCTTGACATATCGATTTGAGGTATTATTTTTTCAATAATAAATTAAGCTTTTTTGAGATATTCATATTATCAATTGAAGTAATGTCTGAATATCAAAAAGAGGCATATTTGATGAAGGAAGGAGAAAAAAGAAGCTCAAAAACCACAAGCGAAAAAGAAAATTCTGAACTTAAGAAGTTTGATCGAAAAGAGATATTCAATTGATTAAAATGACATAGAAGACACTGAGATCAATCAAACCAATATATGAGATTGAAGAGGCAGAATCCAACTTCAAGTGAAATACTTTATTCTATCACATTATCCGCTTCCTATACTGACATTCCAATCTATTAAGAGTGTCTCCCTCTTACTTCTTGCAAAACACAAACATCAACTTCAAAAGAAGAGTTATAAGTTTGGAGTTCAACCTATTCAGCCCCCTTCCCTTCAAGGTTAATAACTTAGCCAGACTTCCGTTATATGAATCTTTTAGGACATGATAGGTCTTGGTCTAGAAATACCCAGCTCAATTGCATTTCAAAATAAGCCGAAGGAAAAATAGAACTGGTAGAAGATGTACTTTCACACGAGTTATAACTTATAAGCACCATCAAAAGGCTCAAAGTCTCACTCTTTTAAAAACTCTTAAAAGATACAGGGAAGTACAAACAGGTGTGAAAAAATAGATTAATACAATACCTCCTTTACTTCTCTGTAATGCACAAGGACAATATGCTCTAATTGCCTGAAAACAGTAAAACGTGAAAGTAAAAGAAGGCAACAAAATGTGATGAGTATTTACAAATTACTCTAAAATAGAAGATTCAACAGGACCTAAATATGCTCAAAACATAATTACATGCTTCATGCTTGCTTGAGCAAATCGTTTCATATGAACAAGCCCTCCTATGAAATAGATCTACCAGAATCCAAAACCTAAAATTATAAATAATCAGGAAAGAGAGATGGAGAGACAGCAGAACTCACCCATCAAGCATCCAATAACTTCGTCGCTGAAAGTTCTCATTGTCCTCACCATGTGCATAGTAGCAATGCAGAACATCCACACTTCCAGCCTACAAACAAGAAAATAATTAATTCACAAAATGAAACATGTAAGCAACTTCAATCCGCAGAAAGGAAGGAAGGGGTACAAGGTATGCACAAAAAGAATATTATGCACCATATAATAATAGGGGTTGACATGACTTAACTACAAACATCTGTGCAAAATGATAGCAAAAATTAGCACTAGAAGAAAAATTGTAAAGTAAAAAGGGAAGATGACTTTAGATCATATAGACTCTTTCTCATGATAGAAAATTCAACACCTAACAAAGTAAAAAATCATGACTGAAGCCATCTCCAGTTGTTTTGATGCTGATACTTTTTCCAGTATAACTTAATGTTTGTTAGTTATCCATGTCATTTATCCACATTTGAGGCATTTGATTTGAAAGAAATTAGAGGCTTTTCAAAAATAAAGTGTGTGTTGAGGAAAGTTTGGCTTTGATAAAGACACGTGTGCCTTCTTGAAGTGCTATTTCTTAAGCTCCCTACTCGTTTTTTGACATTAATTCTTGTTGGGAAACCTTCTTGTAATTTGTTCAGTTTGTATGTAATTGTTAATTTTTGGTTCTGGAGATTAGTAGTCTTTTTTTTTATTTTTATAAACAAGATACGAAATTCTCATCGATTAATGAAAAGGAACAAAAGTGTTCAAATGATACAATCTCCCAAAGGGAGAGAAGAAAACAAAATAAAGAATAGGAAAAGTAAAAAACCCAAAGAGGGAGATACAACCCAATTGAACAAGAAAGATTAACGACATAAAAAAATAAGGGCTACTTTGAGAATGAGCCTCCCACTTGCAACTTGCAAGGAACCTTTGGGCATTAGTAGTTACTACTCCTAAAAGAGGTCTTTAGAATGTAACTCTTCAATTATTAATAAAAGTTCCTTGTCCCAAGTAGAGAAAAAAAACATAATGTCAATTTTTTATAGTAAGAATCAAGTGCTCCAGCTTCTACATATCAATAAAAAAGATTTGTGTAGATGTATATACCTTATAATATTTTCTTGATAACTGGGAGTTGGAGCCTACCTTCTTATAATATTTGAGAACAGAAAGAACTGAATAAAGCAGTATGGACATGGGTAATATGGGAATCAATCTGACAATGGTCAAGACCAAACTATACATGCTCAAGAGCCCCACATCACTCATAACCAAAGGGGAAAAAGTTAACTTACTACCAACAGATTGAACAGCACACCTTCAACTTTTCATGAGCTTCTTTGACAGTTTTTCCATCTTTCTTCTTCCTCCATCTATGACCATCTTTACGAAAGTATCTAAGTGCTTTCCGATCAAAAAGGAACAAGGATCCAGCTGTAAGTGAAAGTATCAAGTTACATTATGCACGTGCAGAAAATTTTGAAAAACTGCTGGAGGAATAATACTATAATAGAAAATACTTAAGCAGCCTCTTATCTGAGCAATACTTGAGCAAGCAGCATTGAAGTAAACACAATCTCTTATGAGAGAAGTTTATAAAGCAATCAAAAGGCAAAGGAGGTAACAAAAAGACACTGATTGAGCAAGCAGCATTGAGTAACATTGTGGATAATGCACTTCCATATCCTAGAACACCTTAAACACATCGGTTTCAACGGTGTTCCAACTTTCAAAAGTTCAGGAAAAAAAACACACACACGCACATAAAATCCAGATCATGAGGTTTTTGGTTGCACAACACCTTCACAGCCTTGAGAATTTTCTCCTCCTCAAACAGTTGGAAACAAATTTTATTCCATATGTAACCATTCAAAATCTAAGAAGTTTATCTTTCCCTTTTTCTAAGCCAATAGATTTCGTAATGGTGTTTAAACTCAAAATCACATAAAATAATTTCAAACCTAGCAAGCCATAAACAAATTGCAATAACTAGAAAAATAGAACACTAAAGAACCTGAAGCAAACCAAAAATGCATCAATATTAATTTAAGAACCGGCATTTTGATACGATGTAGTCTACCTATATGCAAATTCAGAGCAGCTATAAAATACTGAGAAACATCAAAGCAGTAACCTGGAGGCCGAACTGGAGGATCTGGTGCTAAATGAAACTTTCTGTAGTTCCGAAGAATTTCACAGATTTCAGCTGGCCGAAGCCACCGATTCTGTGCTTCCTGTACTATCCGTCCTAGATCTGCCAAGATTCCAAAATGATACAGACGTTCAACAACAAAGAATTAAAATGGCCAAGGCGCACTAGAAAGAAGAAAAAGTTACTAAATTAAAAAATATATATATATAAAATACAAAAACTACAGGCATCTTTATCGTAAAGAAATACATTAAGTCATTACTGGCTCGTGAAAATAAGATTTACAAGAATACAGAAACAGCTAAGTTTCACTGTTCCATTTGGGTTCCTTTTGTAGTTATCTTTTCTTTATAATTAACAATAATTAGAGAGGTTCCTTTTTCACAAACTCCAACTAAGAGTACTAGATTTTGAATAAAACTCCTCGCTAGTTTAAAATAGTTAATGAAGAAATCACATGCAGAATACTGAACACTTGGCGAGCGACAGATAGAAATGGCAAAGCCAAAAACTCAAGACAAGAGTCGCTCATTCGGTTAAGAAACTTTAAACAAAACTCCCAAATCCTTCGCATTAATTAATTAACAGAAATAAAAGACTAGGAGAGATATGCATGCAGCAAATAATCAAACACAATGCAGTATCAATACCATCGTCAGACACAGAAAAACACAAAAATCAAGAATCAAGACGAAACCTGACCTAAATGATGAGTGGGAATGAATTTCCTGCTCTCAGCCATCTAAGACAGCATTACACAGTGAAACACACTACTTGTCCCCACCATCAATCGTAAGTTCCAATCGGAATCTCGGAAGACGACCCTGCACAGAGAAAGAACGACATAAACACAAAGAAATTGGAGAATGCGTGAAAAATAAGTCGACAAAGAAGAAGGAGAGCAGATTCAACCCTAGAAAGCGCAATGGTTGCGAGAGACGAGGCGAAATGGGAGAAAAACAAAAGGAAAGTGAGATTGAAGAAGAAGAAGGATGGGATGTGTGAAAGAGATGATGGATTTGGAGTCAACGAATCTGTGATTTGCGTTCACACGAACGGTTGCGGCTATGGAATTTCTTCGTTCGTTCAGGTGGTTGCGTTGATCATCGGGAATGGGATCACTCGCTTCCCTGCAAGGAATTCTTGCTGACAACGACACGTTGGAGTTCTTAACAATGATTTTGCGAGATTGGTGTACTTGTACAGTCCCATAATTAGTGGTTTTTTTTTTTTCTTTCCTCATTTTTTTTCTTTTCTTTGTTTTACAAATTAAAAGAAGAAGAAAAACTGAATCTTCCGCGTCAAGAAAAATGAGTAAATCTTAAGATATTAAATTTCGGAAAATACTTGGAAAATCAAATATTATTTCAACGGGCATTGAAAAATTAACAATTATTAATTTTTATAAAATATTTATGCATTATTCTTTCATAATTGTCAAATATTAAGCGAGGACAAAATTGCTTTTACTATTAATGAGTCGAGTATTTTTCTTAAGTTTTAGTCGACATGGAGGCGTATCGAAATTTCTATCATGTGCCAGCAAAAAACAATAAAATATTATTGATGTAAACTTAATATGAATAGCTGTTTAGCTTAACTATAATTGACACCTATTATTGATTAAAAAGTCATTAGTACGAATCTTTTCATCCCTTGTTGTATTAAAAACAATATTAATGATAAAAATTTTGACCAAACAAGTCACATTTTGGTCAAGCCACGTTGTCCAAGATTCAAGAGAAAGATCTTAACCTGGCAAATATATTTTACCCTCCTACTAAACTTTTGTTATTTATTAAAAAAAATATATCTTTAATTATGCTTTCGTCAAAAGCAAATATCGCCCTACGTTCTCCGATCTGCATACCGAGGAATAGAAAGGGAAGATTTGTGTTATGAGATGAAATTTGCATTACAATTTACAAATACAAATGCAAAAGGGAACATAGCTCAGCAGTAATTTACATATATCTCCAAATAAGTTATTTTCAAATTATGTTTGGATTGCCTTGTCAACCAAATGTAGTAGGGTCAGGCGGTTGACCCGTGATTAGTCGAGGTGCGCGCAAGCTGGTCCGGACACACGGATTTCAAAAAGAAAAAAAATTGTTTGGGTTGGCTAAAAGGAAGATCCAACTTTTCTACGTATCAATTTACTATAATTTATCCTCTCCTAAGTTTCAAAATTAAAAAATATATATATATATATATATATATACAAAAGGTAGAACTTAAAATTCAGGCCATTTTAGTAAATTTTTAGCCACGCAGCTGTTAACATAAATTCAAATACAAATCCAGGCACTAAATATAAATTACACGAGTCTAAGTTTCTACATCTCATATATTTCCACAAATCCAAACACGAATATTCCTTTAGGATTTTGTTGAACCAAATCTGAAGTGTACTAATGATGTAAAATACAAAGTCATGAAGGAAGTGAAGGCAGGTTGGCTCCAGAGAGAAGTTCTGATAAAATGCAGTGAGAAACAGTTTAGCCAACTAACAAGTGACAACCGACAACACCTCAATATAACTACAACCTGAAAAATCATGTTACAGGACACAAAAAAATTGCGATGAAGTCCTACGTTTCGATTTAAGGAGAACACTGGCTTTATCGGGTCCTCTTCTCACTCAACAGCAACATCATGCTTTTGGTCTGGCTTCAAAGAACTATCCTGAAACGGCGAAGAAGGAAGTCGAAAAATCCAATAGTAAGATAACAAACTTATGCAATTTATAACAGTATTGGTGTGAAGTTTTTTGCAAGCTTCAGAAAGGGAAATGCTACGATGCAGTACGTGTTGCTAACCTTAGTACAGACGTATATAAAGTGGACATCGGGATTCTGCCCAAGCACGGTTTCTAGCGAGGTTGCATTGTCGTCAAATGGAACAGGACTCAACAGATCCCATCTTGGAGGGTCAGTCCTTCTCTCTGAAACAAGTTTCTCTGCAAGATGTCAATAAGAGAGAAGGATGAGATTTGAAGGACACCATTGACAAGTGTTTCTAGAGCTGTTTTAAGACTAGGAAAAATAGTGAAACAACAGACTTGGAATATATACCAGTTCAATAGGTTGTAAATTACAAACTTTGTCAAAACGCATTAATAGAAGTCCTTATTCTCTAGTAATATTTGACTACATAGTTTAAGAAGTAAACAGCACAAGATACTCTTCATCAATCATCATAAGCTACTCCTCTAAAAGTTGGGCATTCGAGCTTCTCAGATCGTAAAGCCATTTTCTTATCAGACAATATAGAACAAACGGAACACAGATCATAACAAGTTAGGAGGTCTAGAAAGTTAAGGTATTAAATATTTGAACCACAACCCCCACAGCAAAAGTAAAGTGTGTGGAACAGAGACAAAGTAAGGGGCAGACTGCAGAGGCATCAAATACGGCCATGCAACTGTTGTTGAACTATAAAATGAAACAAATACACAGACCCAAAGAGCAGATATACTGACTTTAGAGCAGTAAATAGCTGAAATTTAGTTTTGATCAAACCTATGACATGAAGTTTTATCAATGGGAAAGTACGCCTCAATAGACTTAGTCTATATGTGGGAGCTCCATATGTAACCTGCAGATTTGTAATTACCATCAAGAACAACAATCGAAACACAGTAGTAAACTACTCATTCTTTGCATATGACACTACGAAACAAATTTGAGGAAAGAGGGAAGAGTATTAAATATTGAAGTTACCAAAATATATACTCCATTTTCCTTGAGGACCCTATAGTTTGTCATCAACTGCTTCAATATGTAGTGAACAGATCAAGAAAGAAAATTTATACGTAAAAATAAAGAACTCATAAGATAATCATATAGTCCATTGTTGCGATTTACCTCCAAACTTCTTCAAGCATCTTAGTAGCATTTTGTCGCGAATTATTTCCACACTAAAATTAAAATTTCTTCATAAGCAATAGATGTTGAAAATATAACAACGTATGAAAAAACCCAACACTCACCAATAGAGAGTCTAGGGTCCCTGGAAATATCACATGGAAACAATCAAAAAGTTGAGGAGAGAAAATTGGAAAACAACACAATCATGTGCACACACACACACACCAGAAAAGCAGATAAAAATGGATGAAGAGAGAATTGGAAATCAGATTCATGGAATACTACACCTTTGTCAAGAACGGTGTCGAAAGAACATGTTTCAAATGTACTCATATCACGAACATCCATTTTCATATCTGTTTAATTGAAAAGGAACACTTGAATCACAAATAAAATTTCAAAATGTACATCATGTATATTCCTATTCAATGTACAATGATATAGGTGTAATATAATTCAACTTTGAAGGGAAAGAAAAAGAAGTAGAATACTTGATTGTAAGATCGAATTAGGGGAAAGAACTCAGGGAGCATTTGGCTCACAAATTAAGTTTGTATAGCTTGAATTTGTAAACCCATTTTTCAAGCTACATAAACGCACAAACCAAACGCTAAAAGATACAACTATTGATTTCTGTAGCTCACTCTTCCCACAATCTAGATAAACAAACTAGGTCTCGTAATTCCAAACTACACTAACAAGGCTCGATAAACCATACGCCAACTGTCCCCTTTATGAAAGATCATGAAAAAAGAAAACGCCAATTTAACAAAAAGAAACCGAAAAACGTACATTTCATCTGCGGACGATCACAATATTTCCTCTGCATTGCTTCGATCACAACAGAGGATATATCGATATTGACAACATCCTGATAACCATCGTCGACCATGCCTTCGCTAAATGCTGCAACAACAACCGCAAGAAAAACAAAAGATTCTTCAAGAACTAATTCCAAGAAAATGGCTCTTTCCTCAAGATACAGAGTGGAAATGCATTGCGTTAACGGCGAGCAACAGATCTGAGAAAGAAGAATGAAAGGAAGAGGGGAAAATTTAGAAGGAAAAGAAACCTGAGTTGCCGCATCCGATGGCGAGGATGCGATGATGGTGGGAGACGTAGAGATTGATCAATGGCGCCAAGGAGTGATACTTCTGGTACCAATCGAAGGGGCCAGATTCGTTGGAGTAGCGATTGTCCCAGTAGCAGGGCTCGCCGTAGGCCTGCGTAGAACTCTCCGTCGCCATGATTTCTCCTCCTCACTTTGAAAATTTGATTGGATTTTTCGAAATCTGTTATTCCGTTGGCGGTGTGGTTTTATATGCTCGAATTCTGGAAGGTAGTGGAAAGAAATTGTTGCACAAGGATTTTGGCTTCCAGCAAAAGGCCAAGGGCGTTTCTGTCATTTGGCGAACAATCAGATGTGTTTTTCAAGAGGAAGAAGAAAATAAACTGTGATTCCCTCTTTACCCCTACTTTAATATATTAAAAAAGATGCCATTTTCACAAATAATATTCTCTCTCCTTGAGATGAGATTTAAATAGAGGGACGAGACATAACAAATAGGTCATAATTTATAATCTCTAATCCTACATGTTTTATTAAAAAACAAAAGTTTAAATATTATTTTAGTGTCCGCCTGTATATATTATCGTGTTAGAAAAAAAAGATACTATTTGTGTATCTCTCCTTTCGACTTTGGTTTATTTACCGTATTTTCAACATCATTATCTCTGTTTTTTCAATTTTGTTCATATACTACGAAACGACAATTTTAATTCCTTTACATTTAAAAACGGATCATTTTAGTCTCCACATTTTCATTTTTACCTCAATTTTTTATATATAATTTTAGCATAATATTTCACTTATTTCCTGAAATGTAATCATAAATTACATATAATTTGTGAATAAAGTTTAAATATTATTTTGGTTTCAATCCTATATTTCATCGTATTTAAAAAGAGAAAGATACTATTTTGTATATCTCTACTTTCAACTTTGGTTTACTTTGTTGTATTTTCAAATATCATTATTTATGTTTTTTCAATTTTTGTTCATAGACTTTACACGAAACGTCAATTTTTATCTTTTTACATTAGAAAAGTCTCAACATTTTTAGTTTTACCTCCATTATTTATATTATTATTTTAGCATGATATTTCACTCTCTATATTTTTGAAATGTAATCATAAATTTTATTGTCGATAAAGTTTATGTAAAATTTTTATTAATATGTATAAAATTATTACTCTTTAATATTATAAACATGAAAATAGACATTTTGAAAGTAAAATAACCCAAACACATCGTATTTAAAATTCTTAAATTAAAACCTTTACTTGATTCATTGGCCAAGCAAGTGGAGCCGAGCCACAGCCTTAATAGCTTCTTCTTCGTCTCATTCTTCTCACAGGAGTAGGAAAAAAACCAATCTTTTCCAATATAACGCAACTCACACGATCCACAAGACAAAAGTAGCATATTCTCCTCCTTCGGCTAGTGAAAATGGCAAAAAACAGGACGTTGAGACCAACAGGAAAACCAATTGCCATACTAATATAAAACCCAAACATTATTATTTCCGACTCATTCTTCTCTCCATCTTCTTCACTTGTAGAAATTACAGGAACAAGGCCATTTGCATCCCATGGGCACTTGGCATGGAGAAGAGATCCACATAGAAAAGGATTGCCTTCATAAATGGAGGGGTCTTCCAGTGTTTGAAGTTGATTGCCCCTTGGTATGCTGCCCGTCAAATTATTGAATGACAGGTTCAAATGTTCCAAGAAATGTAGAGAATTTAAACTTGCAGGAATGTTTCCAGAGAGATGGTTGCAGGAGAGATCAAGCGTCTCTAATTGCTGCATGGCTCCAATATTCTTTGGAATGGTACCAACAAAATGATTGTTGGACAAGTTTAGAGTACCCAAATACACAAACTTTGTTATCTCATTTGGAATTTCTCCACTCAATTTGTTCCTTGAAAGGTCTATTGTCATAACGTATTTGAGTGTGCTACTGTATTCAAACTCTCTTCCTTTCACAACCAACGTTGTTTTTTTGCATGGAAGCTGAGCCCAACTCGATAATACACATAGTTGTCAAATCTCATAGCGTAGTCGTCATAAATGAAATTTGTCCAATTATACAAACAACTTGGAACTTCTCCCAAAAGATTGTTGTTTGAGAGATCTAATATACGAAGTAAAGAAAGATTGCACCACTGTGTGGGAATAGTTCCGCTGAAATGGTTAGATTGTAGATTTATCAACTGCAGCTCTGGCATTACTACTCCTATCCATGAAGGAAGGCTTCCATATAGTCTGTTTCTACTCAGATCAATCATGCTAAGGGATGAACAATTCTGCAAAGATTTGGGAATTTCTCCATGGAAATGGTTGTTCCTCAATATTAATATATTCAGAGATGTCAACAAACCTATTGTCTTTGGAATTTTCCCATATAGATTATTGTTGCTCAAATCAATGATAGATAATGCTTCCAATTTATCCCAATAGTCGAGGAGCTCCCCTGAAAGTTGATTGTCTGATAGAGAAAAAGCTTCAAGATATCTCATTTTTTGAGTGGACGAGATTGATGGAATCGTGCCAACCAGATGATTTTGTGACAAATCCAATTTTATCAAATGGGGCATCAAATCACCAATATTTGAGGGTATAGGACCCCACAATAAATTGTTTTGAAGATATAGGACCTTTAGTTTAGGATATCTAAATGGGACCGAATCGTCTTGGGGTGTGAAGAGGTGAGATAACTTTCCTTTGAGCAAGTTGTTGGACAAATCCAAGCCAATAATGTGAGAAGACATCTTAGAAATCCACCCATGTGGTATAAAATCAGAAATTCCAACATTAGAGAGAGCAACGTTACTCAGTCCAGTTTGATTTTGAAGCCAAATTGGAAATTGAGGACCAATAAAGCAATTTTCTAAATAAAGATTCTTGAGTCTGAAAGGAGGAATCCAACCATGGGAAATGTTGAAAACCAATTGTTGAATCTCTCCCTGGCTTATTTCCAACCTTTCCAACTTTGTCAAATGCGTCAATTCAACTTCTGTTATAACTGATTTCCATGAATTTTCATAACTTTGAAACCAAATTAATTCTGAGAGTTGTCCAAGAGGTATAATGCCATTCAAGAAATTATTTGAGACATCCAATGTCTGTAACAATGATAAGTTACCGATCGAATTTGGAAGCGAACCCCATAATTTATTAAATGAAAGATCAAGGTCTCGTAGGTTCTCAAAGGTGCCCAGTGAATTTGGTATCTCTCCGATCAATCTATTGCTACTGAAGTCCAAGGTTTCCAAATTATTCTGAGAACAATTTGAAGAACTACCAAAAAACTCATCAAGTTTACCACTAAAATAGTTGCCACCAAGACGAAGATATTGTAATTGGCAAAGATTTCATAAAAAGTTTGGTATGTGATCTCCAACTTTATCTAATATGGTCCCACTTAAATCAAGATATTGAAGATTTTTCAATTTCACAAAATTCCGAGGAATTGTACTTTGAAAAGTATTGTATCCTATATCAAGTTTTGTAAGGCTAGTAAGATTAGATAGCCACAAAAACGAAGAACTTATTGAATTGAACGATAGATCAAGGACTTTGAGGGAAGTCAAATTTAGAAAACCAATTGAATCATCGAAACTTGAAATACCACAATCCCGTAGGTGTAATTCTGACAAAGAAGAAAGCCTATTGACTACATGAATCCAATTTGCTTGTACACTATCTAAATTTACCCGTCCAATATCAAGATACTTTAAAGAAGATAGACCTGATAGCCATTGCAAGTTTCCACCATGCAAATCATCTGCCATTGATGCTTCATTTATTAGTAAGTTATATGCACGAAGGTCTAGATAATTCAAATTTGACAAATTTCCAAGATTGGGTGTAATCACTCCACCAAAATTTGCAAAAGAGAGATTGAGATACTTCAGACTTTTGAGCATCCCAAATAAATATGGAATTGGAGCACGTTCAAAATTATTGACACTTAGATCCACATAGTTTAAATGTTCGAGCTCAAGTAGAGAATGACTTATATCACCTCCCAAACAAGTCTTTTTGTACCCTTGTAGAGCACTCTTGAAATCTATCTTTTGATCATCATAATCATAATTGTGAGAACGGAAAATGGTGAAGCCCAATAAGTTTCGCAGATCAATCTTTGTAACTTTTCTGGAGACGAAATCACAAGTTATGCCAAACCATTGACAACAATTGTCACCCACCCAAGAAGAAAGCCTACCTGAAGGATCTGATAAGCTTTGTTTGAAATCGACAAGAGCTCTCCTCTCAGCAGCAATGCAGTTGACAGTTTGAGTGATATTCGAAGCCGAGTTCAATTTCACGAGTAAACAACACAACCATACAAGAACCAGAGAATTTATGACACGAGTGGTGAAATGGTTATCCATGTGCTTGATCCGATTCTCACAGAAGAAATACAAATGATATGTTATGAGATGGACGATTTTGCAAAGCTATTAATTAATGGGATAGATATATATATTCATGGTATTTTTTAAAAATTATTAAAAAAATCGACATATTATTTATATTTATTAAAAAAAAAACATTTAAGTTTCACATGGCAAAAAGGGTCATGTATGGACCACATATACTGACTTGATACAACTTCCACACATTGAGAAGGTCTTTATTGGCTCTATTGGATTTACTTATCATAGCTTGTTAAATAACTGCGGTCAATTTTGATCTTAAAAAGATCTGCGAAAATTTGAAGTAAATTAATGTTTTGGTAAATTTCAATTGTAAAAAATATATATATATAAGTCACGGAATTGGGTAAATTAATAATAAAAATTGTTGTAATTTAAATATAATGAACCAAATCAGTTGTTTGTGTTGATATTTAATTTTATAATTATTTATAAGATAATTATTTTAAATTTATATAATTTAAATTTACAAATTATGTTTTGTTTATTTTAAATTATTTGATAAAATATTAAAAAACAATTGTTTTTTCCATAATTGAGTCTGAACAAAATGTTAGAATAAAAATTAAATACAAATAAGTAAAAATAAAAAATATTAAATAAGAGGGTAGATGCAACAAGTTAACTCTCTTTGAAAGAAATGATAAGATAGAGATAAAATAATAAGCAGCAAAATTTGTTATGTATTTCAAAATATATTACCTGTTTTAAAAATTTTTAAACATGGCAAAATTTTTAAATTATATTAGTAATATATGAGATATTCATAGCAGTACTACATCAGATACTCATATTAGTAATATATTAGATATTTATCACGTACATATTGCACAGAGACTCATATCAGTAGTATATTAGATGTATATCACATACATATTGCAAGTATATCAGACACTCATATCAGTAATATATCAAATTATACATATTACATACATATATCAGTAGTCAGATATATTACAGATATATTACGAATATATTATAGATGTATATCATTTAGGTAAAGTTGTCATTTTAAAATTGAACCTCCAATTTTTTTTAAGTATTATATTTGAAAAAATTAGATGTGGTTGCTATTTTATTAATTTTACTAAATATTTTTATCATATTTGTAATGCTCACAAATAATAATTCTTAAATCTTTTTTAGTAAATGTGTCATGATGAAGTCAATTTCGAAAGTCCGTCTCAATCATATTTTTTATATCAATGTTAAAAAAAGTAATCTGAAAATGGTTAAAATTTTCATACCATCAAACTCTAATAGAGTTAGGCAACGTAACGAGTTAAATAGAATTCTTAAAATATATATCTATGAGTTATAAACTCATTTTAAAAAATCTTTAGCTATTTAAACAGTTCAAGAAAAGAAATAACCTTTTATTTAATAAACCTGTCATTAAGTATTCATATGAAATATTAACTTCACAATGTAAATAATTATTTTTATGAAAAATAGTATGTCTCTCTCTATTGAAGTGGTCATCTTTGAGTAGTTGGCATTGCTCCCTTGCAATAATGTTTGATGTTAACCCAATTAAATAACAATAAATGCTTGATTGGAAATCTTGACTATGAGATGATGAAATTTTTACTACTCCAATAATATGAAATAATGTCAACTGGAATATAGTTTAGTGGTAATTGACATGTACTATTTTCTTTGAGTTCGGAAGTTCATCCCCCATATCCCAAAATTGTTGTAACATGAGATGAGGAAATTTTTAGTACTCCAATAATATAAAAGAATGCCAATATGAGCATAGTTCAACGATAATTGACATGTACTTTTTTCTTCGAGTTCAGAAGTTCGATCTACATATCCCCAAAATTGTTGTACTATGAGATGAGGAAATTTTTAATACTCTAATAATATAAGAGAATGCCAACATGAGCATAACTCGACTATTTTCTTCGAGTTCAGAAGTTCGATCTTCTATATCTCAAAATTGTTGTACTAATATATATATATATATATATTTTCTACAATCGGGTAACCACTTATTTCTGGCTAATCTGAATATAGCCAATTAATTAGGGCATTTACCTCCGATCAAAAAATTACGAGTTCGAGTCTCCACTCAACGTATTGTATCAAAAAACCACTCTGTGTGTGTGTTTTTTTACAATAAAGTTCTCTTTTGATTAGTTGCATTGGAATAATGGCTCTCTATATTGAATTAAGTTGTCATCTTTTGAGTAGTTGGCATTGCTGCAGTGCAATAATATTTGATGTAAACAACAATAAAGGCTTGATTGTAAACCTTGACTATGAGATGAGAAAATTTCTAGTAGTCCAATAATATAAACAAATTTCCACATCAGCTTATCAACATTTTAAGAATAATATATGAACAGTGAACTAAAAGAATATGTCAAGTGATTATGCGTATACATATGAATGAAGTGTAACTCGTTAAATTGTGTTATATAAATATCTCCCTGAGGGAGGTTATGTGGTTACGTTTTACAAATCATTATTATTCTTGATGAAATAAGATTTTACGGAGAAATTTTTACAGAAAATTTAGGTGTCGTTTGGTTTTTGGGAATGTAGATGACCATGCTCGAAATTTCAGATGTCTGGTATATTCAGATAAGCACGTTTGTTTTGTAGGAATATTTTTAAAAATATCTGGGAATATTTAGATAGTCACGTTTGTTTTGCAGGATTTATTCTTAGGTATTAAATTTATAGAATATTCCAAAAATGTCTTCACAAATATTTATATAATTTATAAATTCAGATAATATGATAGATTTATTTCAATTAATTTAATATTTTTATTTTTTATATGTTATTTTGTATAACAAATTAATTTATTATTAATTTAATATAAGTTTCATTTTCAATTTTCATAGGTTTCCAAAATGACAATTATATAATTTATGTTATCTTCGGTAAAATTTATTTATCCTATCATCACATTATATTTTTTTTAAGAAGAAAAATATCACGGGTATGTTGGCCGTAAAAAAATGTTACTTTACAATTATATATTTATGATAATAAATATTATTAATAATGTAATTCCTTCGCAATATTAAAAATAAATGGATATATTATATAATTTAATTGTAGTTTATTTTACATGTAGATCTAATGTACAAATATACTTAATAGCATAAAGTTATTTATTAAACAAGGAGTATATTAATTTATTTTAATTATAAATTTAAAAATAAAAATAAACAAATTTTTTAGAAAAAATTTTAGAAAAAATGATGAAATAAAATATATGGAGAAAAATGGAGGGCAAAAATGTAAAAAGTGGATGCCCTCAATACGGGAATCTTAGAAATCCGTGTTTGAAAAGGGCATAAAAAACTCATAAGATGCCTCCCGTATGGGCATTCTAGGATACCCGGACATCTCGAGATACCCGGGTATCTTACATTAATGCAAAACAAACGTGAGAATCCAGATGACCGTCTCATGGCAATCTTGGATTCCCACGAAACAAACGGCTCCTTAGAGTCTCTAGTCTAACAAAAGAAGCCTGTGTTTTCCATCAAGACATGGATTAAAGCATTGACTAGGCTAGCAATGGTGTGATCTTTTTAATTAATTTCCAAATTTGATTGCTATAGCGGGAGGTATGTAATCTTTCTCATTGCTAAATCAGAATTTTTTTAACTCTACTTGAATTCTTGATTATGAGGTTTTATATTCAGTTTTAGTTTTCAAAATTTTACTGTTTGTTAAATTTTAAAAAATTTATTGTTTGATATTCTGTGTGTTTATACAAAATAATCATGAGTATCATGTATTTATACAGAAGTCTACTATATCTTATTTATACATTGTCAAGTTTGGTCTTTCCCCAATCTTGTATGGAAGGAATTCTCCCAGGATTCGACGATTGACTTAATTAAATATATTACATAATATTATGTTTTAAATTATGTTATATACATGCGTTTTTATATGCTTAGATGTTGGTCGTTGAAATGAAATAAAAATTAATTAATTATTTTGATGTCATTTGTGGAGTATTAAGTAATTAGAAGCCACCACATCTTTAATTATTATAATGTTTTAAAGATGTTTTACTGTTTCTTAATTTATTTAAATGACATCATTATTTGTAATTCAATATAAATTTTAAATTAATTTTCTCTCCAGAGAAAAATTATTTTTTATTTTATATTTGATTAAAATGAGATAATATTTGATTTATTAGGATAAGAATGTATATATTTTTGGAAATCTTAGTGCCATAGACCTAAAATATATTTTTATATATATTCTTCTTGGTATAAGGAATATTAGTCTCATGTTGAAGTATATTTGAATATTATAATTTTTGCATATAGGTAAATTATAACATTCAATTATTTGATTATTGGATTAGTTTATATGGATAGATTTTCCATACTTTACTTGCTTCATTACAGTTGGTAAGCACTGCAAGAATTTCGAGATTTGACAACGAAAGGAGGAATCGTCGCTAAAGTCCAAGAAATCGTCACGAAAGGTCTTTGGCGACGAAATTCAATTTCGTAGCCATGAGTACCTACGACGACAAAATAAAATTTGTCGCCATAACTAATTTCGTTGCCAAAACTAAGCTACATCGACGAATTTTATTTTGTTGCCGAAGCTACCTTTCACGACGAATTTACAGTTTCATCGCTAAAGGTACAATTTGATTTCGGTTTTGGTTTTTTTTTTCTTTTGCAATATTTATATTATTTTCCTGAATAAAAAGACATGAGTTCAAAATTTTCATATAAAGATTTATAAATATTAAATAAACATTGGTTTTATAATATAGTACAAAAAGTTCGATACAATAAATAAAATTCAATCGCTTAAACCTAGCTATTCTAAAAGGTCCCATCATCAAGTTCGTCACGAAACCTTAACAAAATCGGATTAAGACCGATCTTTTAAATTCTTTCACAATCACAAATCACAAATAGAGCTTTAACATAGTCACTTAAATAGAAAACGCCAGATAAACTGTAGTACTATTATTTATATATATATATATCTAT